GCATCAAAACCTTCAAGATCCAATTTGTCCCGTATCGATCTACAGACCTACCACCGTTCCAGTATTGAAGCCAAGCAAAATGTTTGTATCGACTTTATTTATTTTAGAAAGAAAAACAGAAGTGGAGAATACGATTCGCTAACCCCCGTGAAATTCTGAATCCAACGATACTCCATTCATGGTATTTGAGCATGACAGGAGCTTATATTTGGTACGAAACCGATTTCGAGCCTTACTGTAATAATGAATGTGGGGATGGGGATGTGGGGATGGTTATATATACAGCGGAACTGGCCGTAATAAAGATACCACACTTCTTATTATCATAATTATTTCTTCCTTATTAGGATTACAAATTTGCAATGAGGTCCTACCTGGAAGGAGTGATTGCAGACGAGGAGTGGGAAGCGGCAGAGATGGATGTAGTCGACAATCTGGACTACAAGGTGTCCAGGATTACCAACAACATTCGTGATGCTGCCGAACACTCCCTCAAGCACCGGAAGGCGAGGGTTCGACCTGTCCCATGGTGGACGCCAGCCTTAACTGTTCTAAAACGAGACCTCTACAAGGCCCGGCGGTCATATCAGAGGTGCAGATGCGACGAGAGGCGCACTGTACTTCGCAATGAGTACAAGTCAAAAGCCAGGATATACCGAAACGAGGTTCGCTCACAAAAGCGGAAATCTTGGGACGATTTCATCATTGAAGAGTCTTTGAAGAATCCCTGGGGTATTCCGTATAGGGTAGCATTGGGTAAGTTGTCCCCGATGCAGACTATTGCAGCCTTGCGGTATCATGATACTGAGGCAACCACCCTTGAAGAAACTGCCAATGTTTTCATTGAAGCAATATATCCCAGAGATGACCCAACCCAGGACAGCGAAAATGATGATTTTGTGGACGCACCACGGTATATCCAACTGGTTCAGATTTGTGCCCACCATGGGACATTCACGATCTTCGTATTGCCGTGGATAAGCAGAAGACTAATCGTGCTCCAGGACTTGATGCAATAGATACAGCGATCTTAAGGAACAGTATCACGTATATTGAAGACCGGCTGTTGAGTATTTTCAATGAATGTCTGGATATGGGATACTTTCCAAGAAGATGGAAGATCGCTGATTTGAGACTACTCTACAAGGGAGGAGATAGGGACAAACAACTCCCTAATTCATATAGACCTATATGTCTCCTCCCTGTGATTAGCAAGGTCCTGGAGAACCTCATGATGACTAGTTTACGGCCTGTTTTCGCTAGAGCAAGTCATCCACGGCAATATGGATCAACCAGAGGCAGAGGAACCGCTGATGCCCTGCTGAGAGTGCGCAGAGATGTTGAGGAGAGGGCGGAGCGGTATGTCATGTTGCTTCTTTTCGACATATCCTCCGCCTTCGACAGCGTATGGTGGCCTAGCGTGCTCCAGCAGCTGCAGAGGTATGATGCTCCTAGTAACTTATACACACTAGTAAGAAGTTATCTCCAGGATAGAAGTGTCAAGATTAGAGGCAATTACTACGAGGTAGAAGCTTCCATAGAGAGAGGTTGCCCTCAGGGATCGGTGCTTGGTCCTGCTCTATGGAAGCTCGTCTTTGATGAGTTACTGGGAGTGTTAGAGGAGGAGCGGTTTCCTGCCACTGCTTACGTTGACGACCTAGCTGCTGTGGTGGCCTCCAACAGCAGAGCTGGAGTCAAGAGAGAAGCAGAGCGATGCGCCAGCCTAGTCGCTAGATGGTGTGAGGGGAAGAAGATGAGGATGGCTGCTGCTAAGACTCAAGCCATCCTCCTTAAGGGAAAGACTGATAGGGCACACCCTATAACGATGTACATAGAAGGTCAGAGGATACGTCCAAGTGAGGTGGTAACCTACCTAGGGGTTAGGTTAGGTGTAGGCCTCAATATGACGCCTCATTTGGAATATCTGGCAGGTAGGGTGGCCCTAGCAATGAACGGTCTAAGTCGTGTGGGGGGCGCATTTTGGGGCCTTAGGTATCCAGCCACTATCACTATTTATAAGGGTGTTGTGGAGGGTATCCTTAGGTATGCGTCTCCCTTCTGGTTCCGAAACCTCACACTCAGACAAAGAAATAGGCTAGCATCGACTCAGAGAACTGCTCTGCTTCGGGTCACCAGAGCATATAGGTCTACGTCGCATGAAGCAGTGCAGGTCTTAGCGGGGGTGGTGCCTCTCGACCTCCTCCTGCGAGAAGAAGTGACCAGGTACGACTACAAGAAGGAGGGCTCAACTAGTCTGACGGAGAACCTACGGATGAGGATTATTGAAAACCCAAATAAATGGAAAAAGATTATCCGGGAGGAAACAATTGAAGATTGGAGCAGACGGTGGGTGACGACTTCGAAAGGCAGTACCTTAAGAAAATACTTTCCCACCGTTGAATCTCGGTGACAGGCGAAATGGGTCCTCCCGGACTATTGGGTTTCACAATTTCTCACGGGGCATGGGGGTTTCAGAGCTAAACTCCATGGCTTCGGACAGGATATAGATCCCCACTGTCCCGCTTGTGGTGTTCCGGAGACTGTTGAGCATGTGGTCACGGCCTGCACTGCTTTCGACGAATTAAGAGCGAGGTTAATGAGAACCACGGAAATTTACGTCCTCACTGAGGAGGAGTTTCCTCAGTTGGTGAGTGAAGAAAACTTTCCGCGGTTCAAAGACTTTATAAATGGCTGGAAGACGGCGGTAGGCCCAGCTCACTTCAACCTAGGTGCACACAGAAGGAGAAGAGGACCAGTCCCAGGAAGACCTCCGGATTCGGGAAACCAGGCCTGAAGGAGCCAGGAAAAAGTAGAAGAGCTAGCTGTGTGCACAGCTTAGAACTTTGTAAACTGATATTATGGCAGTAGTGTGTTATTATGCATTAATGTTTAACATCACACTACTGCATACACCCGTGTTGCCCTGGTGGCATGGGAAGGTGGAAAACAAATAAAAAAAAAAAAAAAAATTTGCAATGAGAATAATTTTACTTAATGTAATGTTATTAATTGGAAATAAGACGCGATGTATAATACAGATTTTTACATAAATTAAAAATTTATCGGAACTGTGATTTCGTTCCGTTTATTTTATGCTAGTAAAACATAATACAATATGAACTACAGAATACATGTAAATTAAAGTAATGCAATTCGAGCAAAGAGTAGTATAATTAAATGAACAGTTGTATAATTTGAAAAATGGAGGTTAGTTCGCCTTCCCGCGGACTGGGGTACCGCCATAGTTATGTAAACAAAAATAAACTAATAACTTTGATAAATATATATATATATATATATATATATATATATATATATATATATATATATATATATATATATATATATATATATATATATATATATACATATATTGCATGGCATGGCATAATTCACTTTCTGGATTCTTTACTAAAACGTATACAATTCAGTATTTAGTGTTTACAATTACAGGATATGTGAATAAGTTCTCGCCGTTTTTAAATAGAAATGAAACTTTAATTAGACGCAGGTCCTTAAAAATATTGTCCATCGCTAACCACCACTACGTTCTTTCATCTTTCAGGTAGCTGATGAATTCCATATTGAAAAAAAATGAAACTTTTTTAAGAAAATAAACATGAACGCACTGCTGAGCCAGACTGCGAGTCAGCGAACGGAACAAGTGGTAGTCGGAAGGAACAATATCGGGTGAATATGGCGGGTGTGGCAGAACTTCAGCGTTTCAGCGTTTTCAAATAACATTTGACATAAAGTCGAGCGTTATCATGCCGTAAAATTACCTTATCGTGTCTCTGCTCGTATTATGGTCGTTTTTACTCCCACTGGCTCCCCCTCCCCTCCAATAAAAATAGAGAGGGGGTGAGAATATCGTTCTTCCACTAAATATTTCGAAGAACGAAAATAAAAACGAAATCAATAAGAATTGATCTACATTAATGAATAAACTATAATCAGTTAAGGAAATAGGAAAAGTCGACTAAACTAAGCTAAGGCCTAGATGTAGGCACCTAAGTATTTTACCATGCCCTATGTTCTTATTATGTATCTATTAAATACAAAACAATACAAAAAAAAAAAATAACTATATACAACACAAAACATATCTGTAAATTTATTTTCATTTATTTTATTTATCACTCATAATTTTATATATAATATATAATAATACATAAAAAGCTTCCGATCCTTTTGTTAGGATCCATCGACCCCAACCAGAATGGAAAGTCTGTGTCTATGTTACACCCAGATTTAATTTGTATAAATTGATATTTGTATTTCAATGAAGAAAACATATACTTATACTCAGACATTAGTACTGAGAGAAAATTAAATTTTTTGTTTGTTTTACTTTTGTACATACACATATGATTTGCTTCAGTATAATTTTTTCCATTTACTCCACTATCTTTACACCTACAATATTTATAAAAAAAATCTATAAAAAAGTCATATTTTAAAGATCCAATATATATCATAAACATGAATTATTTGACAACTATTTTTTAAATAGGTGCTGCGCCAACTTCATTCACCGATAAGGTTTTTGAGATTTCAAAGGAACTCACTGAATACTCGATCGTTCCAGATTTAGACATTCAACTGAACAAAATTGGCAAATTTATGTATAAGGTCTGTAACTGTATTATTAAAATAGAAATAATAAATCTTTATGTATTTAATATTGAACGTTAATCTTAGATTGAACAGAGATGGTACTTTTGAACAAGTTAAAAGGACATATTATCCTATATACACTTGAACACCTTCATTTAAAAAGTCAATATTTCCATTAATAAAGAATTATTTTGCATAAAGATTTCATCAGTTTTACCATAATTAAATAAGTAATCGATAAATATTTAAACATTTCATGGATTAATTAATAATTGCCAGATAACACTATAAATGACTTCCTAAACCGTTATTTATTCTTTAACTTATTTAGTTTTTTGATCATTTTTTTTTCTGTTTTACCATTAACGGTTTCATGACACTGGATGCATCGGACCTCCTCAGTTATTTATTTATTTTATAATCATCTCCAATAAATTACTTAGGCAATATTGAATTAATCTTTTTCTATTCATATTTTTCAGATAGGATCAGAAGAATTTGTAGTGGAAGTCATTGACCCAGTCTCTGCTTATGTCAAACTTATGAAAGAAATATTTGATTTCCCAAAAATTAAAAGTCTCTTATCAGATCCGAAGGAACCTTTTAAAATTGTCATTGATTCTATGAATGCAGGTATAGTATTTACTGATTGCTCTATATGTCTTGTAACAATTTTTAAACAAGATCTATACTTCTTATTATGTATTTAATTTTAGTTTTCTCTATTTAACATTTCATTTAATCGTTGGATTTATTTTTTATTTCGATATTGGAGTTGGATTTATTTTCTGTGTTATTTTAATTAAAAACAAAATTATAAAAATATTTAAATTTAATTTGAAACAAATATGTGCATTATTAAAATTTTTGAAATAAGAATTATAAATAAAAGAATATGCTATATACATTGTATATGTAAAATATTTTTTATAAAAATGAATAGAATACAAATATCAAATAATATTATTAAAATTAAACAAGCAAAATAATTGAATCCTGATAATCTCGTAAAGCTGTAATTTCATAGAGAGAAAATTAATCAAATTGATTACTAATTTAGGTTTCTAAAATGTCACTGAATGACTTTTTTGAATAATTATTTGAATCTATTATCAGATATAAAGTTATTAATTACAGTAAAGTCATTTAAAGTTAACACCATATATTTTTTTAATTTGTAAACACTGCTTGAAACATTTTTAGCAGCATGCATTTCCTGAAATCCTATCTCACAAATATACGATAAAATGTTTTATTTTAATTTCATAATTGATTATATTAGGTTGTAATAGAATGGCTTAGTAAGTCAACCTAAGTTTGGCTTAAGAAAAAAACAAAACAATTGCAGTGCCTTCAAAATATATTGAAGGAAGCTAGTCGACTGTTCTACATATCGTGGGTGATAAATATTCAGAACTCAGTCTTCTTAAAATTTATTTTTGATTTTTTAATTGTGCTTCAACCCAAATATTTGGGTCATCTTCAGGGCGTGGTTTGAGCACTAATGGTGTTCAAGTACTCAGAGTAAAATAAAAATAAATTTTAAATGTTTCTAAGAAAGTTCCATTTAGTTTTCTGAGAACTTGGTCGTGGGTTGCGGTCAAATTAAATACTATTATAATACATAATATTTAATTTGACTGCACCCCCAATCAACTCCTTCTCAAATTATAATGTTAGGCAACCATCTGTACACCATTTAGTTTTCCAACAACATTTATTTTCCATTCAAATATATAAAAGAAGACAAGAAAACTACAACAATTAGTCATTTAAAGTTTGTCACTCTCCATAACCTTCTAAAGATGTAGAGATGGTTGACCGTAATATAATATGGGATCTGGGAATTTGGGATCTTCTAATGGCCATTCGAGGGTTAAATGTTAAATAGAAGACACGCCAAGCAATCTCCTTGGCGCAGTCCCTTCTGCATTTCATAGTAGTCCGACATATCTCCTTGGATTCTGACAGTGCATTGCACCTCCTTCATTGTCACTTGTATCAGTGGCACAAGTTTAGGTGGGACACCCAGGCCCAACATATCGTGGTAGAGCTCATCTCTTAGGATGCTATCATAAGCTCTCTCAAAGTCTACGAAGAGGTAGTGTGTTCATACATTATATTCTCTTGCCCTTTCTAGGATTGTTATAATAGCAAATATCTGGTCGACCATAGATCTTCCTCGCCTGAACCCAGCCTGATATATTCCTATTTCTCTCGCAGCGAACGGAAGTAGCTTCTGAAAGAGGATTCTTGAGTGAATTTGATACATGGAGATTTGTTTTCAATCTGAAAAAAAAAATCTGCTTTAGTTAGCTATAAAATTCTTTGATAGTTCATATTTATTAATTTTCAAATACTATTAAGAATGAGAGACCTTTAATTATGTAAACAAACAAAATGAAAGGTAATATAAAAGAAGCTATTTGAAAATTTGGCAGTTTAGCTATGTCAGACTATTTCAATAAAGATAAAATCTAGATGTTATTAAAGACCATTTGATAGTTCATTGGCGTATCACATTTAATCAAAATTATTAGAGCTATTTTAAATAAATGTGTGAAATTGATGACATATATGACTCCTGGCCAGTCAGTTGAAGGGAGAATGTTATTGAAATCGCAGGAATATATCTACCATTAATACGTAATTTCAGTTTTGAATTTTTTTGTTTTTGAGCGGGATTGATTACACACTCCCACTGTTTTGAGAGACTTGTTTATTTGGAGCCAGGAGATCTTAAACCATGTATTTTCATTGAAAACTCAAATTAAAAATTGTTCACATTTGCAATAATATACATTTTGTACATAGGAAATCGAAAGTAAAAGTATTTTAAATTCTTTTATTTTTAAAATTATTAAATTGTAATATTCTAAAATTATAACTTATTATAAAATATTTTTTAACAAAATCGTAAATTGTAGTTACTGGACCATACGCTAAAGAAATATTTGAAAATGAATTATGTGCTGAAGAAAAGAGTGTGATCAATGCTGTACCATTGGAAGACTTTGGAGGAGGGCATCCAGATCCTAACCTTGAGTATGCAAAAGATTTAGTGGATATTATGAAAGAAGGAAAACATGATTTTGGTGCAGCCTTTGATGGAGATGGGGTTAGAATTTTGAATTTTTAATCAATTAAAGAAGAATAAATCATACCAATTTATTTTTATTGATATTAAACCTTAATGATTTCAAAATAATATAGTTTACAACATTTTAATTTATTTTAAAAACATTAAATATAACACATTGTGTTAAAAAAAATGTGGAAACTTCGTTTAAATAATTTTTTAGTTAAGAGAATAAAAAAAGTTCAGGCAAAGAACATGAGGGAGAACCTTGTGGGTGAAGCTTAGGCTGAGAGATTTTGCTCACATCTTGTCACACATATATTTTTTTTCTTTTTACATTTTGGTTTTATATGGGCATGTACTAATTCATAAGTTCATTGTTATTTCAATAACAGATGGTTTCATGTGCACTATAAGGTTCTCCATAAATATTTTTTTATCATAAGGATTGATTTTCCCATGACTTTCATAAGTCGGTTCAGTGCATTGTAGGGATGCCCATCGGTCCCAAGGTCAATGGGGCATGCGCTCCAATTCCAAGATATTTGATTGCTTTGATGTTCTTAAAAACAGTGGAAATGAAAATAGAATTTAAAAAATTGCAGATCTTATACAATTATACTTGCCCTGGTCTGTTCTATGATTTTCCGCCTCCTTTTTTGGTTTGAAAGTTTCTCCAAATTGAAATCTCGTAAAAATATGGTTTTCTCCTAAAATTGACAACCCTATCAAAATGTATCCGCCCCCCCCCTCCTTAAAAATTCAAAACCTTGTAAATACATGCTCCTCTCAAAAATATTTATGCATCATTCACAACATGCATCATTCAATATCCTTCAGGGTGCCACCACTGTATTGTATTATAAGTTGTGAAACAGTATTACAAGAGAGTTTACAGTAAGTGAATCAAATTTTTTCAGTGATACTATATCAAAAAATATAAGACATGACACAGCATTCTTTCTAATTTTTTCATGGGCACTTGGAGCCAAGAAAAAAATATTTTATATAATTTCAAACAGAAGTTGTTATTTAGTTTTGCCTTTGCTTGACACAAATATTTAGGTAATTATATACCAATTGATTGATACAGAATAAAAACAAATTATTGACAGTGGTATTGCCCTGATAGCCCTACATACTCAATAATTCTTGTATGAATTGGTGAAGATGTCATGAAGTTATTACAATTTTTGCAGCTGTCATAGTTATCACGATTTGTATAGTTGTCCTAGTTATCACAATTTTTGTGGATGTCAACAAAACTTTGAAGGGTCTAGACTAGACAAAAAGTTCATGCAGAAAATTTAAATTTTTTTATTGCTATAAAAATTTGTATTTATGGGTATTTCTGAGGTGCGAAAAACAAATGTCAACTTTTTTTCTCTCGAAAAAATAATTACCTCCCATACTACATGCTTGGTACATTGGTTAGTCTAATTATTCCCATATCTGTCAAATATATTATTTTTAAACCATCCTGGTGTCTAGAGTAACAATTTTTTTAGGGAGAAACAAAGTTGATATTTGTTTTTCGCACCTCAGATAATCCTTTAATACGAATCCTTATAACAGTTGGAAATTTAAAATTTTCAGCAAAAATTGTTGCCTATTCTTTATTTTTATTTTTATTATGTACATTATAACATGTCATACTGATAAGCTACATGTTTATGGTTGCAACAATTGTTGCTTACATTATAACTCATTTAATATCACAGTCAATATTTTTTTATTCTTCACAAAAAAAGAAATTTATTGTAGTATAATAACCTAAAAATCTAAGCAAAAATAAATAACACATTTTGTTTAAAATTATATTCACTTTTTTTTTTTTTGCTTTAAGAGCCCACTGGAACAAACGCCCTGTATATTGGTCTAATATTTTTTTATTTAGTATCATTGAAAAAAATTTGTTGAAGTCGGTGACCCACTGACTGTAAACTCTCCTCATTAGTCGAATTAGTGAAAGATTACTACGTTAACTACTAATAATATTAAAAGACAAAGTTGTAGTATTTAAATATTTCTAATGATTATTTAAAATATATTATAATTTTAAATTCAGAAGTCGAGAATTTTATTTTCATTACATATATTTTAAGTATATTACTTATTATTGAATTTCATATGTAATGTCATGACTCAGAATCTAGAATAGATTCCCCACTTGGACAGTCTTGGTGCTCTGCTTAATGATTCAGAAGAGCAAAGATGTTTTGAAAAGTTCCTCTGTTGAACTTTCTTTATTTTCTTAGCTTACTTAACTTCTTGATTTTGCTAATAAAATCCTTTCTAGTTTAAAAAATGCCTATTGAACCCTTATCTAATTATATACCATAATGTCTCATTCTTTACTATTTCTTATGATGTTAATACTTAACTTATATGATTAATAAATTTAGTAACATTTATTTTAAGATTCATTAAATTTATTAAGAAATCAAGATAAACTTTAGAACAATTAGCAATTCGTTTTTACAGGACAGAAACATGATATTAGGAAAAGATGCTTTTTTTGTTACACCTAGTGACTCTCTTGCAGTTATAGCAGACCACATTGGAATCATACCGTATTTCCAAAAGAACCAAGTGACAGGATTTGGAAGAAGTATGCCAACAGCTGCTGCCATAGACAAGTAATTTCTTGATGGTTATTATTTCTTTTTTTTTTTTTCTTGTTCTTCCCTACCTCACCTTTTTAGGCTACACAGGATTTTCTCGGACCGAAAGGTGAGGGCGGGGAATTCAAAATCCCCTCCAGCACTGGGAGGCAAACTCATACTTTTTTTAATCTCATAACTTCGGTTATCTGGTTGCCGGGCAACTCGCGGTGCTGTACACACGTGTGAGCCTATCCCGCCCCTACTTAATGGTTATTCTATATTCTATTCTATTAAGAGTTTTAAAAAAAAAATGTATTTCTTTTTAATTTTTTTTTTTTTTTTTTGTACAATAGACAGAATACTAGCCCTATACTAGGGCAGCTAGCAGAATACTAGCAGAATACTAGGGTCCCAGGATACTGAAAAGGTACATTTCGGAGCCTAAATGTTTCATTATAAAATAAACCTATTTTAATATAAAACTTTTATTTTTTAAAATGTTTTATTAAAAAAAAAAATTCTTCATAAAAATTTAGTTCTAACAATGATCAATATAACATTTTGACATATTATTTGTTTACTTTGCAATAGAATCATTAAAAAAATTTAGTGCACTTAACATACAGCTTTCACTTACCACTCTACTTTGAATAGAAATTATTTTCTAGAAATGTTGGTCTGTTATGAAATTTATAGCTAATAAATCAATAACTATAACAAAAACCCTGTTAATTATGTTATAAAAACCTCGTTACTCCATCTCTTTTTGTTAACCACATAACTCCAGTCTGTGAGCTTTATTTAAATGCCTAGAGAAATATGAAAGTATATTTGCATATTTAACCTATCATGATTGATTATGGATAACCTATTGATTATGGATTGTATGCCTATTACTTATTGAATTGTTATTTTCCATTGTAAACTTTACTAAAATGAAATTTCAAGATTTTCATTGCCTGCCTATAGATAGGCCAAAATTTGTAACACTAATTGTAAGAGGGTAATATTGGGATTTTGCAAAGAGAAAATTCATCAAATTATTCCCTAATTTAATTTTTTACAAAGTTACAAGATGATTAATCAAAGTAAATGGACGATAGATACCTGATTTTTTAAAAATATAATATCGGATCTAGAGTTATTAAACAACAATTATATTATTTAAGTATTTAAGCTTATAAACAGATGTTTTACACATCCATGAAATATATTTATATTTCACTTCTTCTTCCATACAAGTATAATGAAGTATAATGAAATAGTTTTTTAAACAATGGCATTGCTTTGATTCGGTGGATTTTAAATACCTTTCCAAACTTAAACGTAATTTTAAGTTTACATTTAGTTAAAAAATTTATTCAATTTTTTTGGAAACATGTAATATCCCTTAAATAATAATAGTCTTCAACAATTATTATTTATATATTTTTCTTTACTCTCCATTCTATATTAGATATTGTTTTTTCCTAAAATTCTCCACTTTCCAACGATATATTATACATAGATCTTCTGGCTATTATTTCCGTAGATATATTTCCAAGCTAAATAAGTATTTTCCTGTTTTCTCCTTTATTTAATCATCAAATTCTTTAAAAAAACTTATATTTTGTCTTTTTTCATTATTTATATCAATGAGAAATAGTTAATTATTTAAAATAAACCAAATTAAAGGTACTTCCCAACATCCCAAGCATATACAAATCTTAAATATGCAATTAGACTTTTGTTAGACTTTTCATTTTTTAGCAAGACCGATAACATACACACAGACCAGAGGTGTCCAGTAGGGGGTTTCATGGCGCAAGTTGTGCCATAAACATTTTTGAGAGAGGCACATTTTGACAGGGTTTTCAATTTTTGAGAGAGCCACATTTCAAAATGGTTATGAATTTTCGAATTAAAAAGTTCCAAATCAAAAGACAAATGGAAGCATGGAAAGTACTGCAGTATGTGTAATTGTATATAATCTACCAATTTTTAAATAATACTTTTGTTTTCACTGTTTTTAAGAAGAGGATAGTAATAAAATATCTTGGGAGGAGTAGGGGAAGGTTCATGCGCCATCGTCCTTGGGGGAGATGGGCAACCCTGACACAGACCATTTTTGCGGGACTTAATTATTTGGACTCATATAACATTTATAACAATATAACATTTAACATTTATAACAATATAACTCATCATAAAAAAATAAAATTAAAAAAATGTTAATTAATTAATTAATATGAAGATTTGTTGCTCATATTCTATTGCTCTAAACTTTGAAAAATTCTGTAAATTCCAGACAATCTGCACATATTTCTAAATATATGACGCGTTTTGGGTTACAGAAAAATAATATTACTACTTAACTGTAACAGTGAAGAACCTTATGCTGATTTAATTTCCTAAGAATAGTGCTGGCTTATCTGGGAGCTGTTATCACTTTGGGTGGGCAAATCCAAAAACTTTGTATTTTAGTTATCTCTAAGAATATTGTTGGGAGTCCAATGTTACCAAAAAAGGAATAATATTCAATTTATGTAATTTTTTAGAACATTAAATATCCAGTTTAAAGAGATCTTGAAAAATATTCTATTTTTATGTTATTATTATAAAGAACAAAAATCAAGAATGGACTATGCTTTATAAAATTCATTTTTTTTTTTTCCTCTACCCTTTAAATATAATGCTTTGCTTTGTTTGACTGACCAAAGCTCCTAAAACAAATTCTTTAAGTTCTAATTTACCTTCAAAATTCCCAGAATATTACTTTAAATGTTATCAATTGTTATAAACTTTAACCTTAAATATTTGTTGTTAGAATATAAATTAATGGATACTTAATATTAAAAAAATTGAAGTATTTTATTTTTCTTGATTGTGATATTTTTTAATAAAAATGTTGATTGCTGAATGAATATTTACTGTTTTTTAAACTTATTTGTACAGAGTGGCAGAAGCTCTAAACATCCCATTTTATGAAACTCCAACAGGATGGAAGTTCTTTTGTAATCTTTTGGATGAAAATAAAATTGCCCTCTGCGGTGAAGAAAGCTTTGGGTAAAGTTATAATAACCTTATAAATTTATTATCAAACAGTATTTTAATATGCTATGAACTTATTTTTTACAAATGTCAAATTAGAATATTTGCAAATTTTGCATATTTTATAATAATAATACACCATTGAAAAGAATGGTTTTCAGTTATTGATTTACATTTAATGTAATTGTTAATTTATTACAGTACTGGATCAAATCATGTAAGAGAAAAGGATGGAATTTGGGCTGCTCTTGCTTGGCTCTCTATCATAGCACAGACTAAGAAACCATTATCTGAAATTGTTATTGGACATTGGAAAAAATATGGGCGTCATTTTTATTTGAGGTAATTTCACAAATTATTATATAGCACTTCAATTATTATCAGTATTTTAAGAATCTAAAATTATGACTTGGCAAACAGTTTCATCATACTGAAAACAATAAAATAATGCTCAACCAATTAAATTTAGGCTCTCTCTATTTTTTACACTTCAAACCTTTGCGATTTAATGTTTTCTTGTATCTGTGCCTAACGATGGATTTTGCTTTCTTTAGAATTTGATCACTTAAATATTTGATTGATCTTTTATATAAAAAATATAAGAAGGTATAAACATATGAATATAAAATTATTCTGTTTAATCAATCTTTCTTTAATTTAATTTAGATTTTTATTTTGCTGGTTGTAGAACAAATAACATTTAATAGTATATGTACATTTGCTATCAGAAATTTGCCATTCAAATGTTTTTATGAAGACTAATGAAATATCTGATAATATGAAATCATGATATAAACATTAAAACATACAAATTGCTAATCAATTTGATGGTGTCTTGTTCTTTATAAAACTCTGTACTGGATTTCATTATTTATTTAATTTTATTTATTTGCATTATCTTCAAGAGGTTCAATTTTCTTTTCAAATATTTTTTTACAGAATTAATCTTAGGTATAGGATACAATTTAGAATAGAAAATTAATCCCCTAAAAAAAATAATCATAGGAAAAAAAATATTAATATATTTTTCAAATTATTTATTTATTGTATAAAGGAGACAAAAAGTATTTGCACACCAAGTTTTTACTCTCCTACCTATATTAGCTATGGAATGTATTGCAATGGGGTCAAATCTCTGATGTGCGGTTTTTGATGGATCTGTATGTTTCAGAGCTTCCTGAGTTCGAAAAACACATTTTCAGCCATTGGTCTGTCTTTCTGTGCCAAGATTATCTCAGGAACTAGTAGACTGATTTTGTTGCTTCTTTTTTTATTTTGTAGGATTCTGTCTACTGATGCCTGTGACACTAATCGGGTGCTTCTTGGGCAATAAGTGAAAAACATATTTTTCTATAGACTGTAGCACAAAAGTGGCTCTAACAATTTTGATGAAACTTTCCTATAAGTTTCTTATTAATGTCCTTTCAATTTTCTTATATTTATTAATACTGATGTACAAAATAAACCGATGCTGGATTTAGCAACAGTTGCTAAGATATCACAGCACAAAATCCTTACATAACCTTCTGTATTTAAAATTCTTCCAATAGGTACAAGATTTCTGACTATTGTAGACAACATATCCCCAAACTATGTATTCACATACATTCACACATCCATATTTTACAATAATTGAAATGTTTTGATTCTTCATTTTCTCATTTCCCCTTTACCAAGAAATCTTTCAGCCATCAGATCCAAAAAAATTAAACTGACTCTCTTTAGAGAACAGTATATATTTCCCAAACCTGACAGGATTGTATTCTCTAGCAAAAGAAAGTCAATTTGCACAATTAGTCTGACTAATATAAGGTACTTTTTCTCAGAGAACTACCATAAAGACTCACAGAATTCTGAATATTCCTTACAGTTCTTGTGATTAGACACACACCTGAAGTTGTTTTGATCATATTAGCATATGCTGGATTCATAGCCCTTCAATTTTGATTATTCACTTCATTCCTGCGCTTAGTTTCCAGGGAAGTCCTTCCAGCTGGTTATTTTTAATAGTACTCAATTCTTTACATCATTTAATCACAAATCTTTCTGTATAAAAATGTAGCCCCAAGAAGTCTGCTATTTTGCAATTTGATTTTTTTTAGTTTCACAATAAAATTCTTACAAGTGGCGGCTAAGTTCACTTCTTTTTCCCATTGTCAAGCAGTTAAAAGTACATAGATCTTAGACGATTGAAATATTTCAGAATACTGATTAGAAAGAGCCAAATTTACTCAAGTAAGTAAATAAACAAAGTGTGCAAAAACTTTTTTCTTTACATTTGTTGTTTTTAAATATTTTTTCATTATGATCAAAATTTTCAATTAAATGTGTACAATTATTTAACAAGTTTGTAAATAGCCTTATTCGGGGGCAATTGTAAATAACCTTTTTCGCAGCAATTGTAAATAGCCTTCCACTTTGTCAGAGGACTAGGTTATTTACACTCCTGAATTTAATTTTCTTAAAACAAAACCCGGGCTTTGGATATAGACTTTTTGAAGGCGTTAATTGTTGTTGGGAATTCGGGAACCTAATGCTTTTGTTATACTGAGTGACAAGAATGTATATATAATAATAAGAATACATACATATATATATATATATATATATATATATATATATATATATATATATATATATATATATATATATTGCAGTAGACATCCCCTGGTATTTACTCCTTTATGTGACATTGGGTGAGGGAATGAGAAGGAATATATAATATATAGGAATGTGAGCTTGCACTGTGAATTGAACTCAATTGTGCAGTGGACAAATTGTTCATTGAAAAGTCTCATATCGATAAACGATTGATGAAGAAGGAAAAAGGTCCGGTCAGGTAGCTGGAGGTGGACGCCGGAGAAGAGAGGGAAAGGCACTTGAGGCCTGAACACGAATACGAGAGGACGTTACCTGAGATAAGAGAGGCAGGACATTGAAGACCAAGAATATCAATCCTACAGTTATAAGACTTTAATATATTAATTTACTATCAGTTATTAAAATAAATTGTTTTGTTAGACAGGAGTGAATAGTCCTTTTATTTATTCGTCCTATAGGCCTAACAATTGAAGAATAATAAACAAGAAGGTGAGTCAATTCATTCAAAGTGTATTTACTAAGTCTCACATTTCATATATATGTATTCTTATTGTTTCTTCTCACTCAGTGTCACAAAAGGTATCAGATTTCCGATTCCCAACGACAGTTAAACACCTTCAAAAATCTATATCCAGTGCCTGGGTTTTGCTTTAATATTCACGAGTGTAAATAACCTAGTTGCCCGTTATAAAAGCGGAAGGCTATTCACCAAATTTCCGCCAAAACAGAATATTTAAAATTAACCTTTAAACATAGTTATTTACAATATATATATATATATGAAATGTGGGACTGAGTAAATACACTTTGAATGAATTGACTCACCTGGTTTGTTATTCTTCAATTATGAGGCCTATAGGACAACTGGATAAAATGACTTTTCACTCCTGTATAAAAAATATAATGTATTTTGACAACTGTAATAAATGAATCTATTAAAGTGTTATAACTGTAGGCTTGATATTCTTAGTCTTCAGTGTATTAGGCTTCTCTTCTCAGGTAACCTCCTTCTTTCCTCTTCCCTCTCTTGGCCTCAAGTCTGTTTTTTCTCCTCCAGCGTCCTTCTGCAGCAGCTGCTACCTGCTGGCCCTTTTTCAAGCTTCTTCCTTCTTCATCGATTGTTTATCGATATGAGACTTTTCAATGAACAATTAGTCCACTGCACAATTGAGTACAATTCATTATGCAATCTCATATTCCTATATATTCCTCCTCATTCCCTCACACGGTGTCACATAAAGGAGTAAATACTGGATTTACTACAATTTTCAATTTTGCTTTTTATTGGTTAAACTCAAATGAAATTTTTAATTCATTATATAAAGAAAAACATTATATTTAGTAATACTTTGTGCCCCCACTATAGGCTGAGAAAGAATTAGATTATTTTGAACAATAAAAAAACATTAAAAGCATACAATATTTTGTCTGGTTTTGTTTGGTTTTCAATGGATAATAATTGTATGGGAATTATATGATTTAAACTTTTAATGAAATATTTTTAAATCTCGTCTGTTTTATTTTATTTGTATGTTACTTTATTTATTTTTGTATTTTTTAGATGTGATTATGAACAAGTTGATGCTAAGGCTGCCAAAGACATGATGGCTCTTTTGGAACAAGAGATAACTAGTCCACAATTTGTTGGAAGCTCCTTGCTAGGAAAACCAGATATCAAATTCATTATTAAAGCAGCTGATAATTTTCAATATACAGACCCAACTGATGGTTCAATCACTAAGAATCAGGTGATGTTTTTTTCTACAATAGATATGATATTTTAATTTTCCTCAAGCCTTTATAAATGTACTAAGGCCAGCTGAACCAAGGCTTCTGAATTATTCATGTTTTGAGGAAATATTGCAATCTCTTGATGCATTTTAATCATACCATTATTTCTTTTCTTAACCAGCTCACTTGGTTAGATTCAGCTCTCTGTTCCTTCTGATTCTTAATCTTACATTATTCGTCAATGGTTTTTATATTTTCCTCATAATTTTCTAAATTAATTTGATTTGATTTCCAAACAAAATAAAATAATTCATATCAATACATATCTGTGAAAAGTTACATTCTAGATATGTCCAAGTCATTTTTGTTACTGACCCCGCTAATATTAATAATTTTTCACTTTACCAGAATATATGAACACTTATAAGCGATTTTACAAGAATGTGACAGCTTTCATAGGTTATGCTTCATTCTTGAATTTTGTGTTCAACTGACTGTCCCATATGGCTAAATTGTGGAAAACTTAAAAGAGATTAAATAGGAATTGAGCAATGAATTGTTTAATAAGAACCGCTATGTTGTTTCCTATATTAGAAGAGCATTTTTAACATTGGAAGGACTAATTTGCTCAATTTTATTCTTCTTATCATAATTTTAACTTGATTTTAGGGTAAAATAATTTTTGAAAAACCATTCATGTGTCAATATTCAGATAAGAAATTCAAATTTAAATAATAACGGTAAAATTATAAACATATATATATATTGGGTTGTCCAGAAAATAATGCAGGATTTTGACTTTTTTTTAAAGTACCTTGCTTTATAACAAACTGTTTACTTTTACTGGATTATTCATTTGTATGAATGTCAACACTTATTAATCCTCTTCTAAACGATATGTTGTTTTACCTCTGTAGAATTTCGCTGCTTAAAAATAATTAGTCTTTACTAAGATGTCAATGTTTGATTTCCGTATAATTTTGTTTTAAGAGTTTAAACTCGGCTGGAATTGGACCCAGACGGCCAGAAATCAAGTCTGGGGGGAGAGCACCAATAATGGGATGAGTGATTGATTCCTCAATCAAGGTTGGTTCAAACATTTCAGGAGGGAGAATTTACGTTTGAAGGCAAAGAAGGTCGTTGAAGGAGTTCCTCTCTTGATGACGATTGTCTGTGGGCTTCGGTGGAAGAAAGCCCCAGAACAACTGTTCAAGAACTTGCCAAGAAACTTAACCTTAGCAATGACCACCTCAAGGCAATTGGAAGGGTAAAAAAGCTTGAAAGTTGGGTTCCCCACACATTAAACAACTGTCAAAAAACAACAGCTTTATGAAGCTTGTGCTACACTTCTTTGCCGCAACAAAATGATCCTTTTCTGTCCATAGTTGTTACTTATGATGAAAAGTGGATATTACAATAAAATTAGAAGTTCTGGACAGTGGCTCGACAAAGGAGAAGCAGCAGAACATTTTCCCCCACCTCATAAAAAAAGGTGATGGTTACTGTTTGGTGGGCTTCATATGGTTTGATACACTACAACTTCTCAAATCCTGGAGAAACCATCAATGCAATTACAATAGAATTGTAATCAAACTGATGCAATGCATCAGAAATTGGCAATAATGAAGAAATCTTTGGTCAATCGGAAGGGGCCCATTTTTTTGCATGACAGCACCCAGCCTTTGAGCTTGGGTATGGAACTCTGTCACATTTGCCCTACTGTCCGGACCACTCGTCTATGGATTATCAATGTTTTAGACACCTGGACCACTAAATACATCACAAAAAATTTAATGGACAAAGGAACTAGAAAATGCATTTTTGGAGTTTATCAATTCTAAAGATCGGAAATTTTATTCTGAGGGAATGGAAAGGTTGCCAAAATGTTGGTAGAAATGTACTGATAGTAATGGAGACTATTTTAATTAAATAAAACAGTTGCAAATCTTTCTTCTTAAACCAAAATCCTGTATTATTTTCCAGCCACTCCTATATTTTTTAAGTTATCTAAAGTAAATATACATTAGTATTTTGAAAACTTTTATGATGGAAAATATAAATTCATAATTTTCTATTTTTTTTTTTATTAATAACTTTTGTTTCTGTATGATACATTTTGAATAAATTAAATCTAAAATTGTCTGTATTTGTTGATGTAGGGTTTGCGTGTCATGATGGAGGATGGCTCAAGAATAATATACCGCTTAAGTGGGACTGGGAGCAGTGGAGCAACCATCAGGGTGTACATTGAACAGTATGAGAAAAATGTTAATAGGATTCTTGAAGACAGAATGAAAGTTCTGAAACCTCTTCTTGATATTGCAATCGCATTAGCCAAGATAAAGCAGTTCACTGGAAGGAATGAGCCAACAGTTATCACCTAATATTGGCCATCAGTCGATAGACAGCATATTTAACTGTTCAAAATTTTAACTTATATAAAGAGTAAATCCTGAATGAAAACTCAAATACATGTATATTTTCACAAGTTGTAAGAAATTTGTTTTACCTTTAATAATTTATTATATGTCATCTTAGTCATACCTAAATTTTTTTGAAGACTTACTTGAATGACTTCATTGGCAAACACGGCTTTTTGATTAATTTTGTTTTAATAACGAAACAACCATTTCAACAAAGAATCAAGTAATTTTTCCTTTATGAATCATAGATTAAATGATTCCCTTTGATATATTCATGGTAAAAATTAATGGAAAATAGAGTTGAAATATTTACACAGATGAAGAAAGTAGGGATAGTATTTTCTCTTCAATTTTCTGTTTTGTTTCATTTTATATTCAAGTATTAAAAAAGATCTTTGAAAAATAAAAGTAGAGAATGGATATTTATGGTGCAGGCTTGTTTTAGTTTCAGAAATGACTCAGTATTTGATTTTGAATTCTTAAAGAGACAGTTTATCTAATTTTTTATATTTTTAAAATTTTTTTATCCCATAAAATAATGTAAAATTTGAAAAATTGAATTAGTCTGTGTTGTATGATATTTTAAATCTATATTTTGTCATGATAATAACATAATACCATTTCTAGAACATACTAATTCTAAGATCTTGGTAGTGAGATCAGTGCCAGCCTTAGACATTCGGAACACCCGTGTAATGGTGTCACCTTTCTCTCCCCAAAAAAATTAAATTTATTTATTAAGCAGTGATATAATATGTAATGATTAAATTTTTCATTCAATATTGCTCTAATACAGTTGCTTTATTTATCGGCTAAAATTAATTGTTTTAAGACGTTTTGTATTTTTTTTAAATTTATAACAAGTGGTGAGGGCCCCTAAAATTCCTAAAGACCCCAGGACAAGATAGTATAGGGGCCCTGGATGCACTACCCTACCGCTGGCACTCAGTGAGATATATACACAGTGTCTCCCAAAAGTTTTCAATATCAAGAAAGTGTATCTTATTAATTTGAAAAAAAAGTCATTGAGCCAGAACAGGTATAACATTTTATTAATTTATGTTTGAGAAGATGGGACAAATAATGAAGTAAACTATAAAGAACAAGAAAGGCTAATCCGAATCCATATTTTAAATAATTATTTTTTAATATTTTGATTAACCGAAATTAATCTAGTTTAATACTTTGTTTAATATTTAATACAGTTTAATATTTCGTTGTAAAATCTCGAACTTACCAATTTCAATATATTTCAGTTCCTTTTTATTTTGTTCGACTTTTTCAGAATGTGATCTGAATAAACCACAGATTTTTAGTGGGTTTCATTCAGGTAACCGAAGATAAGGCACAAACTTTAAGACACTTACAAATTAGTCAAATCCTTATATACATAGCTGTGTGATTTAGCTAAATTTTAATGGATTTGATATGAGCTAGCCTTCAAATTATATTTAAAATTTTAATGAATGTGTAAAAAACATTTTCTTAATGATATTGGTTGAAAAATATCATCAACAAACTGAAAAACATCTCACTGGACTACTATTATGTTTAACTGTACCAATTATGTTTTTTATAGACTAATTTTGATTGGCCTTTCATCACATTTTCCTCCCATCCAAACTTTGAATGTTGAGTTTTGGTTCTTCTTAAAAAAATTACTCGATACAGTGAATTATTTCATATAGATTAGTTTGATTAATAAAAGGTTTCTTAGTACCAATTCTTCCAACATGAGAACCATGTTTTGGCAATCACGTTCACTCAATTTTCCCACACTAATAAGTTTCTATCCTGAGGAGGCACACATATCATCCGATTTTTGATGAATTATTCGTTCTATCATCCCCTTCATCCAATCATTTAGAATTTTCGGCTGCCTTGTTTGGTCCTTATTCTCAAATCTTTGTCTTTTTTTCATACCATTTAATGATATATTTCATCATAATGTTGATTTCTATTATATGTCAGTAGCTTCATCAATCTTCATTAATTAAAACTTTTTGCACATAAGTATGATAGAAAGTCAGTGATCAAAGCTGATATAAACTCATTCAGGTATTATATCAGGTATAAGAGCATAATCATTCATAATCCTATTATATTTGATTATTAATTTTAACCCTCAATTAAAATTAAGAATTTTATTTGATTTTGAAATATATTTTCATTAATAATTTTTCAAAAGCTTTAATTTTGCAAGTAATTAATTTGAATAGGATTTATTACATAAAAAAATATTTCAATTCATCGAAAATGGTAAAATTACAACATAGCAAAAACATTTGTAAGCCATAGTAGTTGACAAAGTAAGTCTAATGATTATGCTAAAAATAGACAACTAAGTATATTTAATTTTCTTTAATTAAATATATATTCTAAGCTGCTAAAATATTGATCCTTCTAGAAAATTATTTTAATTGAATTGAATCTGAACTTATGAACTATCTATTTCATTATGGCCTAATGTTACACAGATACTATATCATAATTGTTAAAAAATTAATCTATAAACTCATTTTGAAATTTCTGAACTTGTTATTTTAAAAATAATAATTACATATCCTTAGGAAGGTCTTGATAACATTTAAAAGATTAAATGTTAGTATGATATTTCTTCCAAATTTGTTTTATATCTGTATGCCTAATCTAAATCATGTAATAACCAATTAACATAAGTGCGTATGTTACTTTGTTTGAAAGGTTTTATATGGAATAATAAAAACAAATAAAATTAATAATAATAAATGTAATTATAAATAGCACAGTTGTGCCAGCCAGATCAGTTCATGTACAAATCAGCAATCTATTGAATCAAAAGTAGATAAAAGAAGTTTTGAGTATAACTAATAATGAAAAAGTGGAAATGTTATTGGGGACACTCACCATTTTTTTTTTTTTTTTTTACATTTTCAAACTTTATAAAACAAATCTCACAATACCATTGTATGTACATTAAATTATACATAAACTTTATATAAATATATATATATATATATATATATATAAAGTCCCTCTGATTCCAAGGACAGTGAGAAATCAGTATAAATCTGTGAATTACGGCATATCACAGCAGCTGGCTCACAGAGACCTGTAGTTTATTATGCTCTACAATTAGCCATCTATGAACCAAAGCTCTGGGCATTTACTAATGTCCTGGAAAACTTCATAATGATTCCCTTACATAGGTTAATGTCATCACTCATATACCTAGTCTGTTTGAGTAGCCTCCAATAAGCTGATGGGCCTCATATACCCAGGGAGTGGGGAGACTATATATATATATATATATATATATATTTATATATAAATGTACTTCTATACAACATGGCATATATTTAGGAACTAAATTTCTTTTGATATCGATAGTTTGCTGATTTTTTGTTTTTATCCAATACATGAGCGAGATCAATTATTAAATATTAGATAATATGTTGTAACTAAATTTTAGGTTACAAGAAGATTATAGTGTTACCACATAAATTATTTTTTTAATACCAGAATACTTTATTGTAATATTATTTAAACAATATACTATGCAAATATATAGGAAAGCTGTTATTATAATATATTATATAGTGTAACATAAATTTAGTTTAGTGTAAATATGAAGCGCACAATTTTTTTAACTTTGTAATTTTTGTAATTTTGTAATGAAATTACATAATAGAAATTAAGTGATTGTAGTTCAAATGGAGAATAATGAAAGAATTTGTGCTATGCCCACATAGTAAAACAGTTTTATAATTTATGAGTCGGTTTCTTTAGGGTTTGAACATGGAGTGGGTCTCTTTTTATGATAAACTTATGGAAAAAATTGATTGAGAATAATTTTGTGACTTTTCAAACCTGTTACAAATCACTGTAAGAGTTTTGTTTTTATGTATCTCCATATTTGATGTCTTGTTGATTGTTTTTCTCTCTGTTCCATGCAGAAACCAAATTGTAAGTTACAACTAAAGCAGAAGAGATTTGGATATTGCTGATATGGATTCGAGTATAATATATTTTTGTTTAGTAAATGTAGATTTTGAGAAAGGCTCCACTTGTCCTGCTTGAGAGAAGTCCTATAAATGGGTCAGTGAAGATCCTATATAAAGCAAGCTGGGACAAGTTATTGTATAGGATAAAGTATTTGTGTTCATAAAGAAAGCAATGGCCGAAGCATCAAGGCATGATTAAGAACAAATAAAATAAATAATTATAAAAAAATAATAGGCAGATGGCTGGATGAATCGGAATTGCTTTCCTTGCCACAAAGTGGTTTAGTGTTAAGTAGGGTTTGTAGTTTTATGTATATATTGGGATTGCGAAAGGGCATCGAGCCCTCAGACCAGCACCCGACTGCCAGATAGGAGTTGTGAAGCGTTCAAGCGATGAATCCGACTCTGTATAGATTATAATTTTTCTAATAAATAATAATTAATAAAAAAAAAAAAATTATCTCAAAGCGCTCAATCCACAATCTGCAAATGTAGAGGATGGAGCATATATTTTTATTGGGTATGTATGTTATATATGATTATTGAAATATGATTGTTGGAGTGTGGTTTCTGATGTTCTACAACTTATAACTTACTTTTTTTAATCTGTTTCTATTATGTAATGTAGTCATGTAAAAATTATAATTTTAGTGGAAATAAACATATTTTAAATAATTTCCTTGCATATTTTTTTGTAACACCTACAAATATGCCATTAAGATAATTAAATTGCTTCAAGTAGACGGATTAGAAAATAACTTATTAACTCCAGGAATTCTATTACTATTAGTATGCTATATTTAACTCTCCAGAAAGGGCCCTTATTCTCAGAGGAAACATATTTACATTACTTTAAAATGAAATGTCTCTAGAAGCTGATTGGAGCCCATAGTTTTTTGTATAAATCAAAAATTGAATAAAAGCTTCTTGAATCATTTAGAAGTAGCCTTTTGAGGAACAGATACAGTGTAGCGGTATATTAAAATATATGTTTATTGGAAATTCTGTCCCACCAGTTACAACGAAATATTATGGAATATAAGGAAAAGACAAAGATATATATTAAATCTTTGACTTGACCATAATGACCATATTTTAAATATTGACTTCATGCATTGCATACACCAAGGTTGTTCTGTATATACAGGGTGTCCCTTAAGTAGAGGAAAATATTTAAACGGTTGATAGCTGACATTGATATCTACAAAAAAGTTCTATTAAACAATTGCTCAATTTTCAGCAGAAGTTTAGGTTTCGTGTTTTTTAACGCGAGTCACGTTTTTGTTGAATAGGAATCGTAAACATTGCTCCATACTGAACTAGAAAAAATTTGCTTTAAGCAAAAGTAAAGTTTGTCATCATTAAGACTATTTAAAGAGGGCTATTGGGTGGACAAATAGCTAAATGTCGTTTAAAGAAAGACATAAATTATTTGTGATTTATTTTATTTCCCTTTATCTGTACTACATTTATCCCACTTTTACAAAAACTTCCTCCTTTAATAAGCTTTGAGTACTTATTAATTAAGTTGAGGTTTATTAGGAAAAATTTTGAGATTCACCTCAAGTTATGTAAAGAAATAATGTGATTTGCTATCCAGTCACCTTCAAGTACTCCTGTTTTCTGCAAAAACGATTACAATTAACTGCTGCATTGCTTTTATTTCTTGTTTTTCTGTAATATGGTATGTATTGTAATAAACATAATTGCCTAAAAACACATTTTATTTATAAATATCAAAAGTTTAAAATAATAAATTTTTAAATATTTATCACATAAAGTGGTTATAAAATTGTTTTTTTCTCCCAGATTTCCATCATATTAATTGATATGTATTTATCAATGACAAAACATAATGTTCCTTACTAAAATTTACTTTTGAAATAAAGAAACCGGTAGGTAACTAAATGAGGTGGTGACTTTAATGCTAAAAATCAAATATGGGGGGAACAGAATGACTAATTCTCGAGGGAGGGCCCTTCATAAAGCTATAATTTACAGTAATTTCTCTCATGTATCTCCTCCTTCACCAACAAACTCACCCACTTATCTGAATAGAATTCCGGATATTGTAGGTTTCTTTGTTACTAAAAGGCTCAATCAGTTGCACTTTGACATCAATAGTTTGTCTAA